GTGGCACGTGACTTCCCGCAACCGTACCGACTTCCATCAATTCACACTTACACTTTCTAGGTAGCTCATAGCTATAACTTCACGAGTATCACACCGTTTGGCCTCTATGTAGGCTTATTTTAATCGCTTTATTCACGCGAATGCAATCCAATTTACGGCGTAGAAAAATTTGGAGTACCTCACAAATTGTAGCATAAACTATTTGGCATGTATTAGACATCTGAAATATATATTATCATCATGAGTTCTGCTCCGTTTCATGCGATTTTGGGCTTGTCAGAAACGCACAAATTAGAGCTTTAAAACGGGTCTAAGAGCCCCTAATATTTCGACGTTTAAGGCGACCTCCGATAACATTTACCATTTTTAGGCAGATTCTTCACCAGTAATTGGTCCAAAGCCATTTGAGTTTTGAACTAAATACTACGTAAATAGATGCGTTGGAATCGGCTTGAACACCACTTTCCAACGCAAAAAAAATCACAAAAGACGAATATGTTTTGCAAAAGATACTTCATATTCTTTCTTGTTGCAATCTTTGTAGGTCAATCAATCTCTGGACAGTGTTGTACTTTCTTCTTATTCCAGGCGTATTTTGGTCATAAATTATTCATATACAATAGGGAATGTGTTTTCTACTGAAATCTAGTATACTTGTAGTTTGACTCCCTATAAGGGCTCGGTAGAAAGTGGAGGCCCCTCTATAGCACCCTATAGTAACAGCACAAGTCTCTGTAGTGCTGTATAGCACAAGCTTACACCCACACAGTGCTGTGGAGCGCTGTGGAGCGCTAGGGCATCTAGCCAAACTTGGCGTGTAACTATGGGAAACTATGATATTAGCGGAAGCACTATGCCTGTCTACGTGGGAAAATCAGGTTTTGCTGATGGAGCACTGTATCATAGACGAACGAAGTAACATAACTCTGAATGATTTGGCAAGAAGATGAACCCCCAAGTTGAAATGTCCGGCCCTCACGAGAATGACGCGATCACGAGTACACGTGACTTTGGTTCAAGTTCGTGGACAAAGTTTTTGCTCTCTTTCTCCCTTCCCCACCAACTCCCCCATGGCTCCCCCGTTCATTGATACCAATTGGATGGTGGGCCGCCACTCCCTCTTCTCCACCTGTCTTACCCTCACGGTCCTCCATCAACCGTGCCCCCATCTACCCCCATGCTTGTCCACAAACTTTGGGTCTTGCTTTCAGATGGCAACCCATTTGAAGCGCAATCTGCACCTTAGCTGCATATGACAATACATCTGGTAAGTGTTCGTTTACCGCCCCTTCCAACTCTCCATGCAATTGCGGCCTTTCTAAAGTCGGACAGTTTAACAGATTTCGCCTCAATGACAACATGCCAGTATGAGTCTCTCCCATTTATTTCTGTATTGGTCTATATAACACTCCTCCTTGCAGGTTACTTTATACTTC